CAATGGTGGAGTTTCTTCTTAAAGTTTGAAAAGTTGAAGGGCTTTAAACCTTGTAAAAGTAAGTTTGAGGCCTGAAAAGCCATAAAATGTAAATTCTGGGTGCTAATAATGGGTTTATTTGTTTCGGTTAAACAAAGGAAAAAAAAAAAGCTAAGTTATTTAATTTGAGAACTAGTACAATTCAAAGATCATAAATAGAGATTAGTAAAGCTTGAATTTTAAATTTTTAAGTATTATGACTTTCTTTAAAAGAGTTGTGATTACTGCATCATGATAATGGATAAAGTAGAGTTATTTTATGGAATTGAAAATGAGAGGCATTTGGGTTTTTGTTTAACTTGACCTAACCTATCCCTAACTTCCCAACCCTAAGTTATTGACCAAAGCTGATCCAATACACTGAACAACAACCTTTTTGAAAAATGAAATATATTTTACTGTTTTCTTGTTCGGTCCAGATACCTTCTTCCTTGTCCTCCTTTCTTCCCTTTTTTTTTTTTCGTTTTTTAAAATTTAAGTTGCCTAATTAATTTAAATATCAAAAAGCATGAACAAAAGGAATGTACCTAAACATGAGGATGAAAAACAAGTAAAATAAAATTTCAGTTGACCAACACAGATCCATAGTAATTGCAAAATGCAAGACAATTAACAAACTCCTTATCTCTTTATTATTGGTGTAGCAAATCCCGTTTTGTGTGCACTGAGGGTATTGCATTGTTTGACGTTCAGATATTGGTAAAATACCTGAGTGAGGGGTGGGCTGATTTTGATATTTGTTTTGTACAGCTTTAGCTATTTAGATTAGTTTACTAAATAAATCTTAGGATGTAATGAATAGAGAGATACCCTTTTGCCATAAGGCTAAAGAAATAAAAATGTGTTTTATAATTTTAATTATATTTAATTATAATTTAAACATTAAATAACAATAAATTTCTTAATATTAAGATTTTTTTTAATAATTTTTATTTTATAATATAATATAATATGAATCTCAAAATAAGAGACTCAAAAACACGAGAAAAAAAAAACGAAAAAAGGAGTGTAATATTTTTCGTTTTGAGTTTGGTAAGTGTGTCAACTAATTTTGGAAGTCAATCTCCAGCAGTGAACTGAGCTGGAATTTTCGACCAAAAACTGTTCAGATAACCTATGTGTATCGACATGATCCTTCAATCAAACAGTTGATTACTTGCAAGCGCTCATGTACCTTTTGACCTGGCGCCCAGCGAAACTTCTGGTTTTCCTGCTTAGTTTGCGCTAGCTGTTAAGAAGATTGTCAAACTGAGATCGAATTCATTTGAGAATTGATAAAAACAACTGTAGCAACGTATATATTTGCATGGTTGGAGCTTAGAACTGGTATCTATCTAGAAAGGTCACAGTCGCGTGTGAGGCGAGGCTCATTACATATTGCTAATTACGGTGGAATCCCACACTTTGTCTTGGACAAAAAGCAACCCCTTTCAACTGATTAGTTAATCATTGAGCGAAATGCTCAAATCCACCTTCAAAATTAATTAATTAGTAAGAATGGATTTATTTTTAAATAAAAAATAAAGATAAATTTATTTGTAAAGTTTTTTATTTAAACAAAAATTTTTTAAATCTAACATGTGATATCATCTAATATTAATAATTTGTTAATAATAAACTTCTCAATGACACAATAAATTAATAGATTATTAACATCACTAACGACTTATTAATTCAAATGGAAGAAGCTCGATTTTTTTTAAATAAAATTCTAAATTCGAGTCTTATGAAAGTAGAAATAGATATTAAAAGAACTTCTCATATAACATGACTTGATTATGAATTAATCAAGATTAAATGTGACATTTAGATATTAAAAAATTAATAAAAAATTAAATTATTGATATCAAATGATATTACACATTAAATTTATAATGATTTATTTAAATAAAAAATTTTATAATTAGATTTGTTTCAAAATCAATCTATTTCATTTGCCTAACTTTAAGGATGGATTTAAACATTCTGTTTAATTAATAATTCGTTCATTGGAGTCATTCGACTCTTAATTTGTTGGTTTTCTCGGATATCAGTCGAACCAGTGATTGTTCAAAGTATCTAATTGATTTAATTCATTAATCTCATATTTAAGAGCTCTGATTATTTAAACCTTTTTCTTTTGTTTGAATGGAGAGTCATTTCCCCTTTTTGGTTTTGGGTTCTGTGGTCCTTGTCCCATCTCATAACTTATTTCCACGCATGCTTTTGACTTGAATATGGTAATAACTCTCATTTGCACCTAAAAAACATTATAGTTTAAGTTGTTGGAAAAAAAAAGTTTTTTGTTACTTACGTGTTATTGTTAATTTTCATGAACTCCTAAAAAAAACCATCATGGGATACAAATTAAAAAAACAAAAAGTAAAAATTAAAATATTTTAATACTTTAAATATCAAAATTTTTTGTAAAAATTATTTAAATATTTTAAATAATTTTTTATATTTTTTATCAAAAATATTTTAATATTTTTATTATTAATTGAGATATTTTAATTGTCAAAATATTCTAATTTTCTTTAATTACATAAAAGTATTACTAAAATATTTTATTTCTCTCTAAATTAGAAAGTCATAATCTTATCGGCCGTTTTAGAGCATACTGCTATTGTGTACAAACCTTTGTTTTATTATTATTAATTTTTTTTTTAATTTTAGGTGTTAAAAAGAAAAGGAAAGAAATGAATAAAACAAGGTGTACATCCCCTCGTTCAAAAAAAAAAAATTGTACGTCCCAAGCCCAACTGAACTTTCTGTTATTGGGCCTTCATAAGGAATTGTTGTCTCGTGTCCAAAGAAATTGCACCCAGAAAAACCAGGTTGCTGTCCATAGTGGATCGTGCAAATACA